GCGCTTGAGAAGAATGCTTCAAAATTATGAATGATGATGAAAATGTCGTAAACTATTATTCACAAAGACATGGTTCATTTTTCTAAGAAAATTTATCGTTCATCCGTTCAGGTTCACTCCTTCATGTTCGGTTCATCCCTTCACCGTTTGTTTGTAACCAGAATATTCAATAACTTTAATTATTATTTCATTTAATTTATATTTTAATTAATTCATCAACCCATTCATTTAATTAACATTCGATTTTTCATTTATTCCATTTATCCTTCATTCATTCATTCATTCATCCATCCATTCCTTCCTTCATCAATCCATCCATCCATCCATTCATCCATTCATTCATTCATTCATTCATTCATTCATTCATTCATTCATTCATTCATTCATTCATTCATTCATTCATTCATTCATTCATTCATTCATTCATTCATTCATTCATTTATTCATTCATTCATTCATTCATTCATTCATTCATTCATTCATTCATTTATTCATTCATTCATTCATTCACTTTATAAGACAGAACGCACTGACTTGTGTGTCGTGTGCCGCCATAACAAAGTCATATTTCTTTATTTCACTGAGGACGGCCATTTTATCTCCAACATCATAACATAAACAACAACGTAAACAACAACAACGTAAACAACAACAACAACAACGTAAACAACAACAACAACGTTAAAAAAGTGACGACATCACAGCATCAACATCGCAACCGACACTTATAAACACTTATAAACATAAACAAACAATATAAACAAACAAAATCTCATCAACAAACAACATCAACAAAAACATCCACAACAAACAACATCCAAAATAACATCGACAACAACAATACAACACCCACAACAACATGTTTCAAAACAACAACAACAAACAACGTCAACAAAAGCATCTCCAACATTGACAAAAACATCAATGCAAAATAATTTTTTCACCAACTAAAAGAAAGACATTCAACTATCCCCAACAACAATAACAAATGCGACAATAACATAATATCAACAAAAACAATGACCACTTTGACAACAAAAACAACAGCAACAACAATAATATTAAAGTAAAAATTAAATTAGACTTAGACTACCATTCAATAAAAATACTTGCGGCATCAATGCAAATATCAACAACTTCAAAATTTAATTAACGCCACAACTGAACGTATATGATAGCTATGAAGGCAGCAGCAACAACACTATTCACACAACAACAACATTTACACAGCCACAACACGACAACAATGACGATGTTAACAAAGACTACAGAAACTCAAAAACTAAAACAAAAAAAAATAAAACAACAGCAACAATAACAGCAACAACAAAAATGGCAACTGCAACCAAAACAGCAACAAAAGTTACAACAACCCAAAAAAACAACTACAATAACAACTATAACATCAATAAAAGGCAAGAAAACAAACAACATCAACGACAGCAATGATTCAGGCAATCAAACAAATTAATAACAACAACAACATTGAAAATAGCAACCGAAACAAGCTGAGCAACGACAAGAATGACCCCTTGATATCATTAATTGTTGAAAATGTGACCTGGCATACGAAGCATTTATTCAAAAGACGACCTTCTTTTTAACGTTTGTCCTTCTCTACATGCTTCTTGCCGATGTGCTTGCCATGTATGCACCGTGCCATCATTTTACGTTGTAATGTATCTGCGTGTCTACGTCATCATTTTAGGTCGGTAGGCTGCCGTCGTTGTTGTCGCCATTGTGGTTGCTGTCGTTCCGTTGAAAATATTGTTGGTCGTGAAATTTTAATGCTTGCCACAACTGCCAGGCCAACTTGTACAATTGCTTAAGTACTTTTCCATACTTAGTGTCTATTTCAATATTTGCGCCATAACTGCTGCAAAATGCACATCCCGCAACGTATGTGGTGGTACGCGCCCGTATACAATACAATACAATACAATACAATACAATACAATACAATACAATACAATCTTTTATTCACTTCAATACGTATTTGAATTATGAAAGAATATACGCACACGCATCCACATCACTCATCGTGTGCAGTGCACGTACGCATGTATGCACACGCACACGTACAGCACCGTATCATATGCACAAGTCGCGTGATAGTGTTTAAGTTTCAGATGGACAGCATTCGAAGCAAGTGACTGTGCAGCAGTAGTTGTAATGGAGCGAAACATGACACAGCATCGTTTGAGCCAACTTGCCAATCAAATTGCATGCGTGTTTCGTAACTTTTTTTGCTGTGGCACAAATATTCGCATTTTTCATGTTGTTCGTCACAATTTTTGTAGCCAGAGCTTGCAAAAGGCGAACTCCAAAAAGCAGTCTGCCACGAAACTGAACATAAATAAAGATGGACGACCGATTGTGCAGAATGTGTGTGCATTTGTGTGCTTCTTTAAAAAACGTCCAGTTTAAAAAATAATTACATCAAGAAATATTATCAATGTGAACAAAAACGAACATCCATTTACGTACGTACGCTCAATCAAATTTGCATATTTTTATAACATAAATATGCATCAAAATTTGTGTGTACGTGTGTACGCACGCGTTCATATACATGCACAAACATGTTTGTATACCGACATACAAACATTAAAGTATTTAGGCAAAGTAAAAACAGAAGCCCAAAAGGATTGTGTACAGTCACCTAACTAACAGAAAAAAGATAACAAATTAATTGCTTTCGTGATAAATTATTAACTGCTTTCTGTCCAAATAAAAATATTATATTCTTTCATAATTTGGAAAATTAATTAAACTAAATCAAACAATTGTCAAATAGGAAAAAACAATCAAATTGCATCAGTTTTTATAAGTTTGTAGCCGTCAGACTTGATCTTCGAGTAAGAAAGGCATTGTTGAACATCGGTTGCATGCCTGTTTCACGTTTTGAGTCTAAATATCAAAGTACTATAGCTCTATATTTTTGTCAGCATTACCGGTAAATATAATAGAAAACATTTTTGTGTGCCTAATTTGCAGGCTCTTTGTTGTCCTGCAGCTTACTTGTGTGGCATTGGCTGACACATTTTTTTATTCAGTTTATAGAAAAAAGCAATAAATAAAATTTATATAAACTGTTTATTGGAAAAATTCCACCTTATCTTGAATCGATGGCTAACGTGGCCGAACGTTTTCAAATTGAATAAAACTTTTAAAAAATACCTTTGACATTTTAATATTAATGATAAATGACAAATATGGCTATTGCCTCAAACGGGTAAACAATATATTAAATAATTATAAATTAATTAATGGTACAACATTATGATAATATGGAATGGATGAATGGATTTTAATATGTTAATGATACCAATCGTTTGAAAGATTTTCTGAGAAATGTTGCTTAATCCATAATAGATTGATTAGATTTCATGAACACACCTGAAAATTTTATTGTTTTCATTCTTTCAATGATACTGTCATTAATTGATATTTCAAAGTGCGTTAAATTATTTGATATTTTCGGACCAAATATGAAATAAAACGTTCTTTTGAAATTGTTGGCCATTTCATTGGCAAAGCACCATTCAAAGATAAATGCAAACTCTTGGTTAATTAATTCATTAAACCCTTAAACATAGAAACTTTCAAATAAAATTGTCGTATCGTCTGCGTATAGAAAAAATTTGGCAAGTGTTGAAGATCTAAACAGTTCATTCAAGAACAAATGAAAAGA